GTCCGTGGGATTCGAACTCTAGACCTGCCGCTTGGGGGTGCAGCAACCCCACCACTTCACTAGGTCGCCACACCCTGGTTTTACTAATTTTTATTTTATTAAAAATAGTATTAATTAAGAAAAAACAATTACTCTCTTTTTCTAGAAAATTTACTATGATTCTCTTATTTTATACATCTCCTCACACTTCTCTAGATATATACTTTATACCTCTTGGCAAATTAGCCTTCTACATCTCTTCACTAATTACCTCAATATCTCTATATTTGTTCTAGTATATATGGATGACACACTATGGATCACCTAATCCAAAATACAACTTGACAAAATTAATAATATTGCTTTTTCTTTCTATACTATAGCAGATATTCAAGTCAACCCTACTAAGTCAATATTTATTACAAACCAAACTTTATCTAACCTCCTTTTTCTTAACTTAATCTTTAATCTATTCTATCCTTTCAATTTTTTAAGTTCTTGAGATATTGGTTTACTCTTAATAATAAACAAATTTTCTAAATTAAACTTATTTAAAATAAAGCTATTCATTTAGCCAATATTGCTAATATCAAAAATATTACTAATAAACAAATTACTTATATTATTAATACTATTATTATTTCTACTATTAAATATTAAATTCACAATATTGTTATTTTTTTTTCTATATACAACAAAATCCTTGGCAAATATTTTATCATAGCTAAATACAAAGCATATCTTTCTCACTTTACTCTTAATAGTATACTTTTTAACCACAATCTCTATAATATTCATAATATCTGAGATATACAACTCTAACACTATATTAACAACTTTTTTAACCATATTAATAATATTTCTACTCTTGGTACTACAACTTAGATTTGACTTCAGCAACTTCAAAACAATCTTTGGTCTATTACCAATATTCTTCAATACTATTATTCTATAATTGATGGCCCAAATAAATATTCTATAACCTTCAAAATTATCTAACTTCTTAGTCATTTATATATTTCTATACACTCTTATTTTAATACTTTTTAGCTCAAAACTATAAATAATAGCAATATTCTACTCAAAAATATTCTTTCTAACTACTCCAAATACAATATCTTTAAGCAACAACTTTAATATAAAAATATTTTCTATTTGGAACAACTTTGTTTATCTAACAACAACACTCTTCTAAACTAGCTCCATCTATTTTCTAGGCTTTTATACATCTTCAAAAAGAAAAACCACTTTGGTTTATTACTTAAAGAATACTATTCTTGATAACAAACTTTACTAAACTATTCTAACTAATTTCCAACTCATAGATATTAACCTGTTTGCCTTCTAAACTAACATACTTTCCAAAATCTACAAATCTTGGGTTTTCATATATCATAACAAAAATATTATATTGGTCAAGTTCATAAAACTTTCTTTTAAACCAATACTATTTTTAGTGTTGTCATAGAATAGCTTTGGACAATACTTTGGACAATCTTGAACAATCTTAAACAATTAAATAAAGTAAAATTACTTAAAATTTTATTAAGATAATCTATTTTAATTTTAATTGAAATGAATTTAGTATCTAAAAAAATATATGGTTATATATTTTTTAAATAGATTTATTAATTATTAAAGCATGGGTGTGGCGACTTAGAGTAGTGGTAGAGTTGTCGCACCTCAAGCTATCTTGACTATGGTACCGAGTTCGAATCCCACTGGCAACGTTTCGGACAATATACCAGTATTATGGTAACAGATCTTCATCGATAAGTCAGGTTCTATCACCTGTAACTCCGGTCACACCAATGCACCTCGTGCACTGAAAGGTTCTGGAAGCATCTGTGTGATACTTGGGTTACACAGAAAAATGCAAACCGGTATAGGTGGCGCAAACCCATGATAAGGTTTCCAGAACCATATAAAACCAATAGAGAGGACTTGAAGATCTGGAACTGGCTTGGCAAATCCTGAGTAAGGAAGTAGTAAGGATCTTCGACAGTGACACAGAACTGGACTGGACTGAACCATAGAACTGGTGGAATCGGGCAACAAGATCCTAGAGGTGGGATCTACCAACCAGGCCGCCAGAGTTGCACCGGAGGAAAAGGACTTGTGCTCTGGAAGCATGTACCAAGGGAAGGATACCCAAACGGCACCTAAAGCCGGGAGACCAACCCTGTTGGGCCATCTAGATTGGAAGGCTGAGGAAACCAGGGACATAGAGCATGAAGGTGATGAGAAGTGGGTACCGGGATCTAAATATCAACCTTACAAGGGTAGTAGTAGGTAATTGTAGGAGTGAATAACTCCCAAGTGTGCAGGTCAAGCCGTAGCGTAGATTACTGAAGTCTAGGTATATACCCTGTGTGGGACAGGGCTACTCTGGCAGGTTTACCTCGAGGATAGACTAACCTAAAGTTGGTAAGTCCTAAGGCATAAACAAAATTCAGGCAACCGAGTTAGAAGACTCCACTTGGTGGAATTAGGTTAGGATCAGAGGATTTAAATAGGCAACTCCCTAATTGAGTTGCAGGTATGACAGCTAGTATAGAACCTAGGGCAGACTACTTAAATTAGACAATCAAAAGTTGTACGAGTGGCTAGTCATACCCTCGTTAATAACCAGAGGGTTTAAATAGGTAATCTCCTAGTTAGGTTACAGGTATAGTGGCTAGTGTAGAACCCCAGGCGGACTACTTAAATTAGATAACCAAAAGTTGTATGTGTGGCTAGTTGTACCCTTATTGTAACTGAAACTTAATTTCTAATAAAAAGTTATGGTCAAAGAGGTCACCTTAATACCAAAAAAAAAAAAAAAAAAAATTAATTATTAAAGCCTAAACAAGCTTTGGACAATCTTGGACACTTGGACAATTTTGAACATAGACAAGTCAAAAAAGGCTTTGGACAGCCAAAATGTACAACACTGCATATAGTATCACATTTTAAATTTAGATATATCCAGAGTAACGTGTATTAGAAACGGAGTGTAACGAAGTGTTGACTATACGAGGAGTATGCAAAACAAGGTGACTCATAGGTAAATCGCGTTTCGATGTCAATATCCGTGATCTTATTGGCCAAGGTGGCGGACTTTAAACGATCTCTTTGTTGGGATGAATCCCAAACCCGATTTTACATGTAAAAAAATTGGGATTTCTACCAAAGGTGATTATTGCCGTGGGTGAAAGAAGATGTTTTTTTACTAAACACCGCATTAACCGTGCGTAACGGACAAGCCCTCTCTCATATGAGTTGGTGGAGAGAATTCATTTATTCTCTTTTGAATTACTTAAACAAGCATGACCAAAAAATTATTTGAGTATTTTGGGGTCAAAAAGCTAAGAAATTTGCAACATTAGTGAGAAAGTTAATAATTATGTACTAACAAGTACTCATCCTTCTCCTTTGGCATTAAAAGGAACTTTTGATCCACAACCTTTTTTTGGCTCTCGGCCCTTCTCTAAGGTTAATAATTTGTTAGCCGAATTAGGCGTCAGAATGTTTGACATTACGGCAAATTAAAGGCATTTTGCGAAACCTAGCAAATACTATTTGGGATTCTACCAAATCCCAAACTAGTAGGTTTGCGTCTGTAGTACTGTTTTTAAATTTACTACAGTAAAAGTATAATTATTAAAATTAGTATAAATACATGTCTTAAAAGACTATAATATGATTCAGATGTTTTTTTTGTAAGTTTATATATAAAATATAAACATAAGGCAAAATCAATACAGTATTAAAAGCTTACTACCGGTATATTAATAATGTTGGTTTTGGATCTTTTTACATACAACTGGCATTATACATATAACTATAATTTTTCAAAACCGTTGATCTTTTTTCGATTGTTAAACGAATCTTATCCGTTTAAACTTAGAATTAAACATTCCAAAATAATACGTATAAACATCGGAAACTTTATAACCACTATAAAAGTTACACCAACAATCCTGGCAGTATCTAGGTTTGATAAAAGCGATAGATCATTATACTTGATTATCTCAACATTAATTATTTTTATATGATATATATTAATAATAAATTAGTTATTATATATATATATATATAATTTTGTAAAATGTGAAATTATTATACAGATTAAAAAATTAGCTTCAATATTAATAACAAATATATACTATATAGCAAATATTATTTCCAAATAAAATTATTCCTCTTGCACCCTTACTTTTTCCCCTCATTTTCACCGCTTTCAGGGTTTACAAAAATTCTGATCTGTCCAACTATTCCTTTTACCTCCTTCAGTTCTCCAATTACATCAGATTTTACTTCTTTCAATTCATTTCTAATGAATTCAGAATTAACATCATCCATTGCAGCTTCATATAAATGTCGTCTCCATCCTGTAATAGAATCTAAGTGACTTTCATAGTATATTAAATGAGGGAACCATTCTGCATGATTACGTTGTGCAGGGGTGATTGAATATAATTCGATTTCTGAAATTAGTTGGGCTCGTTGTCGTAGCCAAGCTTGGCGACCATTTTTAAGGGATCCATTGAATACTTCGACAATTAAACCTATAGGAGAAAAAATCATTATAAGAAACTTGAGCAAAAAAAAAAAAAAAAAAAAAAAGCCTAAAAAGTGAACTTTTTTTTTTCATTAGCTTACCGATAAGTACATTCAACAATATAATCACAGTTATAAAGTCTATTAATTGAAAATATATATATATATATTAGTGCTTTCCACAAACATAATGTAACAAATTTATTTAATCAACTTACTGAACAGTAACACCATGAAAAGTAATGCCCAATCTGGGTCAAAGACATTTACGGTTTCCCATCCGATACCCAAAAATTTGTATGTAGAAAATATTGCCCACGGAAAAGTTGACCACCACAAATTTGGCGGTTGGCTGATATCTAAGTTACCAATTACAGCACCAGATGAGTTCGTCATACTACCACTAAAATGTGGGATCCCTTCAGATTGTTTATCTCGAAGAAGAACAAACAATGCGTTTGCAAAGCCCTGGTTGTGGAAAAGACGGTTTGTTATGAAATTATATATATTTTTAATTTTGCAAACATCAAGAATTGGAATTTACGATAAGCCACTTACCACAACCATGAATGCTAAAGTTAAAACTAATGTTTTAATTTTTCTTATAATTTCTAAAACTATAGAAATAAATTTTCCTGGACCAGAAAATGCGCGTGATAAAAAGAGCTAAAAAACAAAAAAAAAAAAAACTAGAAAATTAGTTAACTCGAAAAGGGACGTTCCATCAAAATTTTAAAACCAATACAAACCGCATTGAGCCAAACTAATAAAACTGCATAACTTTTTAATATATCACTTGGTTCATGTTTACTAATCGCATACCAACAAGTAATTAACGGAAGACTAAAACTTGCCAGATCCAAATAATTAGAAACGTTCGTCCAATAGTTTCTCCATTGACCAAGCATTTGACGCAATTCTTGAATCAAGAAGTATAATGAAAAGGTTATCACGAGGGCGAATAAGGGCATTTTCAAATTGACATCGCCGTCTGATACTAGTACAGGATCGATGCTGACAGTTAAACAGAATAGAAACGCGTATACTAAGTAGGCACAGAACGTCCATAAGAATCTCTTGCGTGCATATTTTTCCCTATTATTTTAAAAAAAAAAAAAACCCAAGCATTATAAAAAGGTTAAAACAATCAAAATGCTAACGTAGCATTATGGAATTTACCATTTGAATTCGATAATGGCCTCCATAGCAACTTCACTAAACATTTCCAATGGTCCATGTATTGCAGCTTCAGCAAAAGAACTTAGTCTCGTTGGCGAAACGTATGTTGCCCAAAATCTTTTTATGCGTTCACCAATAGAAGCTTTATTATTAATTTTTGGTGGTTCAGGGTAAACACAAAAATCTGGCAACGGAACAACGCAAAGTTTCGCCGGATGAGATCTCTGAGCTTTGTTTAATCGTTGTTTACGCTGACGTTGCCGATGAACACGAATTTGTTGAAAATCTTTTTTATTTTCGCTCAAGATATTTATAGCAAATTCTGACGAGCCAGCGTTGAGAGTTCTGAGTTTTTCAGATGATACAAAGCTAGCGGTAGTGGCAGTGGTGGATATGAAGGTCATGGTTTTCTTTCTTTGGGAAAATATATTATAATATAAAAGCTTAGAAGCTATTATCTTCAATATTGAATCACGAGCAACCGTATATTTTTTTGGTAACAGGGCCTTCTGAGAGACAGTTTTTAACCCTGAATGAAAGCTCCTTTCTTCGACTTTCAATGGATTTCCTAAATTAGTTCTTAAAATTCGAGTGGGAGTTTCCAATGAAGTTGTAAGGTAACTCCATTCTCTCATTATTTTAGTACCTTTATCCGGATAAAGTCGGTATAAATCTAACAACGCAGCTCCGACTGTCCATGCAAATCCGGGTTGTTGAACCTTCGTATTTGAAGTGTCTGATGATGGTAGAATAGATGATGACGCTGATGGTGGTTTCGATCTACTATTTGGTAGTGTATTACGATCGCGTACGTGACGTATTATATAAGAGATCAATTGATCGAGAAGGTCAGATTTTTGAAGCTCAATCAACAAAGCTAAAGCACTTTCAGATCGTTCGTCATTATGAAATAGTGGAATATATCGTTCTTTATTTAAAATTGTAGTAACCACGTCATTCCATTCAAATAATATAAAGTCTTCCATAGGATATATGTATTGTCCATCACCTAAAGATATTTTGTTAATTGACGAAGAGAATTTATCTATTGAATTTAAAATTAATTTTTTTAATTGAACACAAATATCCCAATGCGAGACATATGATAAATCTTCGTTAAGACAAAGACGTATAAGGTGTATGGACGCGCACGCATCTTTGAAGATCTGATACGTATTTTTATCATCTGCTGCTGGAAGTGGAAGAATTATTGTTTCAGAATTTGTGAGTTGTATTTTAAGACGATAAAGTGGTTCAAAATCATCATTATCATCATTTTTGTCTTGCAGAGTTTCCAAAGATAAAAACTTGATATCAACATTTTTATAAAATGGAACCGTCCATATGTATTGTAATTCAACTTTCAGAAATGAACCTTTTGCATTTGGTTTCGTCTTGTATATCTGAACACTATCGTGTCTTGCCAATAAAATTCTATTTCCATCATTATCCAGCCACTTCATGAATAGATCGGCGGTCCCCCACTTCCTCCAAGGTTCAAATTTAAATTTACAAAATATTTTTTCTTTTTTATGAATATAAATTGAACATACAGAGTATCCGAGGAAATTTGATTCGAGTAAAGAACCTAATTCATACTTTTTACTTGGAAGTTTACATTCTCTTTCAGTAGATAATTCTTTTGTGTTTACTTGATAACCTTTAACATTATTCTCATTAGGAAATAAAGGGTACTTGACAATTTCATTTTTACTCGTATGGACAAATTGATCATCGAGTAAAGCGAGAGGTAGATCTTTGTCAAGGTTTGGATGATTTTCTTCTTCTTTAATCAATACTCCACTCCAACAATCCCATAATTGAACTCTAACATTGCCACTGTCCGTTGAACAAACAACGATTTGATCATGTTTGTTCAAGAATGCAATAAAGAATACTGTCTTTGGAGTGCTGATTTCTGTTGTTCTTAAGCCTGTTGGTGTATGAAATATCACCGTGCTTACCATTCCAGGCTTATCAGAGAATCTAATATTAAAAGTAATATATGGATTCTTTTTTAATTATATATATATATATATATATTTAATTAATAAAATAAATTTAAATTTATGCAGTAATTTACCTTGCTATCAATTCTCCAGATTCAGAGATGGCGTAAAGACAATCTTTAGGTGAAGGGTTTTTGGGATCTACATAGAACCATTGTTTTAACATTCCATCCAAATCCCAAATACTTAAACCATTATTTTCTGGCCAAAGCATGTAGCCTGAACCAGTTCTTAAACTAACTGAAAGCATATCGTAACAATCTAATAAAAATAAATTACTTTCATGACTATATTCAGGAACGGATTTGATTAATTCATTCAAGTCAACGATATAAATAGGTATTCCCAATTTTGTGGTGCATATGTATAAATATTGTCTGGTAATGAAGACAAATTTTGAATCATGAATAAATAATAAAGGGCCTAACATTTCAAGATTTTCAAGGGAATTTAACCCATCAGAAATATGAGGGAGTTCTGGAATCGTTGAATATACAGCAAAAGATGTTTGGGGCGTGACAAATGATTTTACAGTGTCTGGCGCACTTAAACCCAAGTTTATAGCGGAATCCATATCTGGTGATTCTTCAACAGCAACACTTTTCAGTCTTGAAATGGCAACATAATGTCCATCTTCAGAGATTGAGAGATGAATTCTTGAATCTTGAATGTTAAATTTATTGAAACTGGTTTTTACGGTGAATTTTAAATGAAGGTTATCACCGCTCTCATTATCTACTAGAGACCAAACCGCTAAAATTCCATCATCTTCACACCAACCAGCAATAAAATTATTTCCAGGTGATAAAGCTATTTTACTAATTTTATTCACTACAGCAGATTCCGATTTGATTTCAATAGACGTGTGATCTTCTTTTGAAATTTTATCAAGAGACGTAACTGATTCAGCAAGCTTTTCGTATACTAAAGGTGTTCCCGTGTAATGATGTGTGATATATTTCTTATTCTTATTATTGGGTAATTCACTCAATGCATCCTTTATTTCATCTTTTATTTCATCCATATCAATTTGACCATTTGAAGGCATTACAGGCGATATATCCGATTCTTCTATTAAATCTTGATTATTTTCCATATCTTCCATGTCTCTTGTTTTCCTTTTGGCTGATGTTTTTGATGATGGACGGTCTTTTGTTGTTCAATTTGATGGAAATGAATTATATCCGTTTTTTACAATCTCGTTACGATGACTTCTTTTTTTTTGTTTTGTGACTAAACAGCTCCACATGTTCGATATTTATATTTTCCCAATTTGTGAAATGGTTTTATGGTGTACAAATAAATAAACTGTTATATGCAGTACGTAGTGATGCAAGATTACAATTATGAATATAAAAGTGGAATTTTTATCGGATAATTAATGCCGATTACGTTTTTTTAAAAAAAGATTTTCTTTGAATATTTTTTCGTGGTCAGTGCTTCGAATCATGAGTAATTTTTCAACAACAAAATCCATATGATGAAACAAATGACCGAATGGAATCTTATAATAGTTATTCTGTGGTATTTATTCCTATTTTGGTTTGGTAGAGAGCTTTTTCAATAAAATATGGTTTAAAGATAATTAAGATTTTCATTGCTAACTTTATTTATAATTCGTTTCCGTAGTAAAGTTAATCATTAAAAACTTTACAATATGATTTTATTCATTACTATTTAAATTTGAATTGTTTTGGTTTACTCAATTTTTATTAGTAATACTATTCAAGTTTCTACATTTGACGATTTGAATGTTAATATTAAAATTAATATAATGAATAATAGTTTAATAATATTCTTTAAATACATTTATAAAGCATTTATAAAGCATTTATAAGGCATTTATAAAGCATTTATAAGGCATTTATAAAGCATTTATAAGGCATTTATAAAGCATTTATAAGGCATTTATAAGGCATTTATAAAGCATTTATAAAAGCATTTACTGTATAACGCATTTATAAGGCATTTATAAAGCATTTAGAGAATGTTCCTTTAATAAATTCACTGAATGCAAAAAACAAACTCCACGTATGTGAGTTATTGTATATGCCCTAATTAAAGACGGCTGTTCTTGTTCTAAATACGTTAAATCAAGGCTTCACGATTATCACGTGTTTTAGTCAACATTATTATCGTTATGGGCTTTTAAATGTATCTAGAAATCAAAAATTTTCTTTTCAAAAACCTTAGAAATCTACCTAACGATAAAAAGAACATGATTTCCTAAATAGCATCTTATTAATTCGTGTGACGGATAAATTTGGTGATTGGTTTTTAATATATAGCGTCCCATGATCGTAACGTTAAAGTCGTATTTGAACACAATATTATAATTGTTCTGATTAAACAATTTTGGTTAATGCAGTTATTTGTAAAGTTTAATTTCATCATATAAGCTTATTATAATAAAGTACTAACTTAAAATAGATTTCTCATAATTTTAAAGAAGCCAGTTAAAATCCGGATTATTCATTATCAGTTGTTATTCACCCCTTATTATAGTCTATCATGAGTTATGCATAAGACCATGCGTAAAAACAAAATCTCAGAAGCAACGATTATATAACCATTATTACATAACGCTAATTGTAGAAGTGATTGAGAACCCTTTTACCCTACTACCTTATTTTTGTTATAATTATACACGTGACATCGGAGTTTGCATTCCGATGAGATTTGTGTTCATACCTCATAAATATATGGAATGCCATTTTTGATATTTAAGAACAATTAGACAATTCCAAATCTTGAAATATATGCAGGTCAATGAGTTTGAATCATCATTATTGGTGCTTCCACGTTCTTGAAAATCTAAATCCTTCAGAATTTTATATGTATAAATAATAAAATCAGCTATAAATAGCAAATTTACGTACATTACTGTATTACGATATACATTTACTGTTGCGGATAGGCTGTCTATTCGATTAAACCCTACTAAAGTTCATTTATATATTTATTAACAACTCTAATCCTAAATTCGAGAATACGCCCCAAAAAATTTTAAAATAGGTTCAAATTTCAAATCTTTCGATGTTAGTATCATCCAACATTTACTATTATTGTTACTTCCATTTACTAAAGATGCAACCTTTTGGTACATTAAGTAACCGTTGGAGATGACACAGATCGCGGGGAAGGTGACCCGAATCTCGGAATCGCTATTCGAAGACCGATTTGGAAATAACAAAATTAGTTATAGAAATTTTACGACTCAATGGCAATTAGTAATCATAACCTCCACGTATCACGTGACTATGGCGGAGTATACTGAAGAATGCCGTGAATAAAAATATTAAGTGTACGGTAGCTTTATAATTTAGAAAAGCAATGATGTAATATGCTTGTATAAAAATATAAATAGTATATCTTAAAATGTACTCCGAGTTCTTTGAATGTATGCGCCGAGATAATCAGAGATTGCGTTTGGAAAGAAAGAATGTCGTAATATTTTGATACTTTTTTTTTAATCGATCAAATTGGAGATTTCCTCCGACACAGCCATATGAATTCTCTATCAAAGCCACCGTTAATGTTAAATATTGAATGCAATTTTTTTTTTTAAACCATCAATAGATTAGCATTTATTCTTTATGCTGTAACTATTGTATTTTCGCAACGATAAAGATATTTTTAGTTTGGACATATTAAATGCATCAAGCATTTATCGATCGGATCAATATTTTTTATATAAACACAGCCACGTATATATACTTTTAGCTGAGACTGAGATGAAATAATTTAATACCATCACGTGATGTTAGCATTTATCCGGAAAATTGCTTACAGTACGTAGTTGAAGCATTACTGTATTGATTCGGAAATACCTATGTGGTAGCATTTTGTTGCTTTCGCTAATAAATTAGGTGAATTCCGAAAGATGCAAATGAGTATTTTTGGACTTTTGGAAGTTTCTATTCTCAGAGTTCTGAAGATACTTGTTTCTTTTAGGTACTATAATATATAGTAATATGAATGTTATTATCGATCAAAAGTTATTGTACAATATATATGCGTGTGCAATACTGTAGTTCAATGATTAATCTATAATGACAATTTTGTAAAAATTATAATGAATTTTTTGACATACAAATATATATATATAGAAATATAAAGAATTCATATAATTCAGTGTTTTTATTTGTTGTGCAATATTACAATATTTATTTCTAAATGTAAAAATCCATCTCCGAAATCTTTTTCATCATTATTGATTGTTAATAATATGCTAAAGTATCCCTCCTTTTAAAGATTTTCCGAGATGGTGATACTTATGATTAGCATCATGTGTGTCAACTTATTGAAATTCATTAAATATTTGTGTATTCCTAATAAAATCGTATTATCTGTTATGGTAAATATACAAATATATTATTAATTATATATATATACTTATGCTATATATATATATATATGGCATTTATTTATTGTTGTTATCATTTAGAGAAAGTTCTAGGTATCAACCTAGATAACAAACTAGGAGCTGTGATCTTTTATAAAACTCGTAATTCATAATTCGTAATTTTTAATTTATCGTTATCAGTTATAGTTCTGATGTTTTGTTTGTACATTATCGGTCTTTTCTTAAGTTGTACGGATGGCTTCGAGACAGAAAGAAATAAAGGTTTGACGAATGATACTTGAACCATTGGGAAATAATTTAAAACTCCATAAATTATGAGAAGTTGAAGTTTCATCATAGTTGAAGGAAGATTCTAAAATCTCGGATTATAGAAAATTCTTCAGTTTGGATTAAAATAGTAATATATTATTATTTTCCAACTATAGTTATACGGTAGTGTGAATAGTGCGTTAACAATGCGTAACAAGAAAAGATTAGAAGTTTATCTCTGTTTTCCGGATAGTTTCATTTATATACTGTATTGCAAACGATATTATGCGCGAATATATTATCACGATTAATTTTTAATAAATTGCAGCTCATAAAAATAAATATCGGTGTAATTTTGGCATTACAGTAATATCTCGATGCACCAAACAGTTTCTGATTTTCGCTAAATGGTATTATTACTGTATATACAGATATACGCTTCACAAATCGTGCGTGTTTTTTAATTTAACACAACATAATGATAGTTGAAGTTACCTGATCTAAAAATTTTTCGCCTGATATCGATACGCATGCATTACAAATAATTGTTCCAATAATTTAAAATGTGACACGAATCCAATTATGGTCCAAGATCTTTGGATACGTACGTACTTTACGAACGTACAGTACATGCAAAGAATGAATAATTTGAATATGAATACGTGCCCTTCTTCATTGATTCTAATTATTACTAAATATATCATTCTTAATAATGATAGCTATCGCTATTACTCATTCTAGCGCTAATATGAAGACGAAATAGGTCAAAAATACGATAATCTTCACGTGATCTAATATCTAAATTCCCTTGACAAGATTCCGATTATCAAAAAAAAAACCTGCTTCTTATTGTTAATTTTAGATGATCTGATCACACGCATCACTTAAAATCTGCTTGCTTTCTTTGGTCATTTATACGATGAATAACTTTACATCAATAGGAAAAAAGATTGTTGCGATTGGTCGTAATTTTAGGTATCTTATCTATGTATAATGAATTATAATAAAACTTTAATTAAGCTTCAAATTTAATTTTTTTTAAAACAAGTGATCACGCAAAAGAACTTGGTAACACAGTACCCACATCCCCTATCTTTTTCCTTAAACCAACTTCTTCATATTTACTGCAAGGTGGTAGTGTGGAAGTACCGAAAGGTTCCGAAGTTCATCATGAAGGTATTTGTTTCATCTTATAATAAAGGATTACATTGAATTTTTATTTAATGATATCATTTTGTAATAGTCGAATTGGGCGTTGTCATTGGAAAGAATGGTCGTGATATTATAGCTAATGAGGCATCTGACTATATTGCTGGCAAGTCTTAGAAACAAGTTTCAGAAATATTAATTTATAAAATTTGCTAATTACATATTAATCTAAATATTTAAGGTTATGCACTCGGTATTGACATGACAGCTCGTGATCTTCAGGTACGTCATGAAAGAGTAGAATTTCCCTTTAGTAAATAAAAATACTTTCTTTGAAACGTTATTCTTATTATAATAAAAGAATGAAGCAATAAAAAAAGGGCTTCCATGGAGTGCAGCAAAGGGATTTGATACGTTTACCCCTATTGGGTAATGTACTTACTATTTTCACCA